AGCAAGGCAGCACCATTCTCTCCTTTGATGGGAAAAACGCTTACAACAGCATGCGCAGATCTTCCATCTTGCCAGCAGTGGCCACTCATACGCCACACTTGGTGAAGTACTTCGGGACCATCTACGCTCGAACTAAGGCGAAACTTCTGTTCAAAAATGTTGATGGTTCGATCGAGGNGGATACGTCGACGACCTCCAAGCACATCTTCCACCAGGTTTGGCTAGGAACATGCAGGCCATATCCACTGTAACGAATTGGATTCAGGAACGTCTCTCCCAAAAAGGCATTGAGCTCAGTCTCCCGAAATCCAAAGTGCTTTTCCCCGAAGGTCTTTGCATGTCCTCTTTGACAAACGACGAACAGCAACAATTGACGACAATTGGTCTGTCAGTTGCTGAAGGTGGCATGCCAGTTGTCGGCATCCCAGTAGGGACAGAAGGGTTCCAGAGGAATTTCGTTTCCAAAATCGCCCGTGGTAAACCGGCGGAATTGATACTCCGCCTAGCAACGCTTGACTACCCCCAAGCCAGCTATCAACTGCTGCGTTTATCTAGTGCGCCACGTTTGTTCATTTGCTGAGGACGATTGCACCGTCTATCACCAACTCTGCCGCAAAAATACATGACAACATGATGATGTGGACAATGAGTAAGATCTTCCTTGCCAAGATGGCCGACAGCATGAGAATACCAACAGTCAAAGAAGTACGCGCAGACTCGACGATAACGAGGAGGTAGATTTCTTCAAAGGGACAGCTCGGGCGCAGGTGCACCTACCCATGCGAGAAGGAGGACTAGGAATCACGAGCAATGTTCTCATTCGAGAATCGGCTTTTGTGGCAGGGCAAGCGCTGGTGTTCTCCAAGTCAGTGCAAGCATCGACAGGATACACAGTTGAGCAATGTCTACCCCGGCTTGCCCAGCTACCGACAGGATTGGCTCTGATTGACTCGCTGAAGAAGCTAGAGGAAATCATCACCAAAGACAAGCTTGAAAAAGCTGTTGGGCAGTCATGGGCTAAACTTGCCACAAGTGATGAGTTAACCCCCGCCCTCAAAGGAGTTTACTTGTTGGAAGCAGGGAAGGCGGGAAAACCCCGTGAAGATGGAAACCCTGACGTAGAACATCAACCACCGTCTACCTTCAGCCGAAATGAATTTGGTCAACACTACCAAGTCTTTGGAGCCCAAGCTCTCCTTTCGAAACCTCTTCATGCAGCAGTGCGCCACATGGTGGAGACAGACTTGCAGAAAGTAGTAGGCGAGGAAACGCCAAAGAAGAGGGCGTTGATCCGCTTGGAGGAAGCGAAAGGCAAGGGAGTTTTGTCGTGGTTGACAACGCAAGGGTTGTCAGCAGATGAAAGAATGCTGCCTGATCTATATCGAGAGTCAATCGGTCGTGTACTGGGGAGTCACGATCGAGCAGACTGCAACACAGGCAAACTTTGTGGTGCAGGTGCATTGTTACCATGCAAGGACCGCTTGAGCCGAGCCCACTCCCTCGTCTGCACCAAGACCGGCGCCTCAACCTTCCTCCATAACAGGATGGTTCGAGTGGTCCTCAAGACACTGCGCGAGTGCCATATGCCCATCGCCGTTGAGGATTCTTCCCCTTTTACCACAGGCACTGGTAGGGGAAAGGGGCTATACAAGATGGATTTGGTAATCCCCCCAGGATTACACGCAGGAGAGAAGGAAGAGGACCTCTGCACCAAGTCCATTCTGATCGACGTAACAATCGTCAACCCATCAGCAGGTCGAAGCATCGACAAGTCGATCCTTAAGCCAGGATCAGCCCTCGAAGATCGAGCTGCAAGTAAGGCAAATCACTATGCGGGAACTTTCAACCCGTCTAGATCTACCCTCCTTACTGCTGCTTTTTCAACGAATGGTGGTCTTGGCAAAGGCACCAATCGACTCATCGTTGCTATCGCCAACCACTTGGCGCACGAAGCTTTTTGCCGGGAAAATTTTGACGACGAGAGGGCCTTAGTTCGCCTGAAAGCTTTTCATACTAACAGGATTCGGAGACGGTTTACCTTCGAGCTAGCTCGTTTTCTGTCGATGCGAACTCGCGATGTGTTCAAACGTCATGGGCTACTGATCGACCAACTTCCACCAGGGCCAATCGGTTGGGATCTCTGCGACAACGATAGTAGTGAGGGTAATTCTTTTGGGAGTGACGAAGACGAAGGAAAGGGAAAGGGGAGAAAGGAGGATGACGACGATGGAGCAGAAAAACATGGAGGAGTGGAAGAGAGCAAAGGGTTTGAGCCAGATGACCTTCCCCACAACAAGAAACGTAGGGCTAGGGAAGAACTGCCCAGAGATTCTTCTTGTCAAAATGAGGATCAGAATGATGGTAACGAAAACAAAGAGGATACTGGTGAAAGTACTCCTAAACGGACTCGAGTACTAGGTAATAGCCGTGGTAGACGGGTGCAGTTTTCTTCTGTTGCTGCTGTTTCTGGTTTTGATCCGAAGGATAGTTTAGCCTCTCCCCCATGCTGCCCCCTCACGGGGTCCCAGTTTATGATAGATAGAAGTGTTTTGTGTTTTCAACCGCACTGAGACTGACGTCTTTTCATTGGTCAGCCGGTTAGCGCGGTCGATGCTAGTAATAATAAACACACACACACACACACACACACACACACTCCCTGCTGTATGCTACACTCCTTCATGTATGTCCTTTGTATTGCCTTCTGCCTCTCTCTGTGCTGTGTTTCTGTGTTTCTTTTTTTCATGACCTCCCTGCCAACTCTGCTGTGTTGGGTACCGTGATCTCGCTTTGCTGTTGCCTTTGTTTTTGTACGTCTGGCTGTCTGCCCATCTGCCACCTCTTTGTCCTGTTTTCTCCGTTACTCCCATCCATGCCCTGGTGCTTAGTGCCTGGTGCTGGTACGTTTCCCTTTGATTTTTTCTTTGGGCGGGTGTGGGTGGGAAGCGTCCTCGTTTATTTATTTATTTTTTTATTTTTTTCGGTTTCCGAGGGCACTCTTTTCGAACGGTCGGTGCGATACCTGTTCTTTTCTTTCCATCATCATTTTGTTTTCTTTTTCCGAGTGTTTTGTACCCTATTTTTGTTTTGTTTCCCCGCGGCGTCGTATGTGCCGGGTTTTGAGGCCACGAGCTCCCCATTTTTTGTGGACTATTATAGAGCCAATGTCAGAAACAACAACAACAACTAGGCCAGGAGGAGCAGTAGAGAGAGAAAAACTCACTTTGCAAAAAAAAGCTCACTTACGCCGGGATTCGAGACTATAACAACTAGACCATCGGAGCGAGCGGTTAGACTACTATATAGTCTACTATCCTGCTGCCGCTCATACAATCTGTATATAGGCAGAAAAAACAGCATGTACAACGGTTCAAGTGCGGTCAGTGCGCCGCCGATAGGTGCTCTCTTCTGCCGTAGGTTGGCGTAGAGTTGTTAGGGGTTAAGGTGTGTATTGCGACATGGGGACCACTAGGATCCACCACTCATTTAGACTAGACTGAGACTGTTCCAAGCAAGCGTGGTATTCACGAAAGCATCCTTGCTGCCTGCCTGCTGTGTGTGTCAGAAAAACTGGAACATAGGTCTGAATGATGGCCACCTCGAATATGTTGTCCACAGGGAGGGGATTTATCGCTGTAGTCTATGCTAGTCGGGGAATCATAGAAACACGGGGTGTCCGCTAACCCTTGGATTATTTCCTCTGACTACACCTGAGATGGATCCTTTCTTTGTGACTGACTGTGGAAAAAAGGGTTTCGTCCTCGACAGACGTTGGGGAGTTTCAACCGTGATGAAGGTGTTCTCCACATTACCCCCCCCTTTTTCGAGGCTTCTTCTTGTTTGCTAGGCAAGAGAAGTCTTCTCGGGGTAACCGGAACCCGACCGGCTGGCGGCGAGTAGTAGGACCACCTTTTTTCCAACAATCTTCTGTGCGTGTTGCGGGTGCGCCACTTCCGCCACGCATTGCCAGAAGTTTCGAGTTCGATAGACAGTGCATCGTTTCTTGGCCCACCCACCGTTTTTCTTTTTCCGTACTCCGGAAGAAAATTAGGCGAGCAGCGGGTTTTGAGACCGTGTCTTTTGCAACCAAAAGCACACACCTGGCATCTCTTGTCGACGCCATTGTGGAAAAGAGGGTTTCGTCCTCGACAGACGTTGGGGAGTTTCAACCTTTATGAAGGTGCTCTCCACATGACTGTAAGAAAAAAAGAAAAACTACAAACAATCGATCCGAAGAAGAATCTGCGCAAAATCGAAAGAACGGCCCGCCGGGTTAACCAGCTGCCAACCAGCTAACTGCCATCTGCCAGCCAGATGGATGGCTATAATTGTGCAGTGCTGCGCGTAGAAAAAATAAATATATATATACATATAGACTATATGAAAAACATTACCTCCGATGGGAACGTGTCTCCCCCCTGGAAACCCCGCAAAGCATGCGGCGAGATCCATCCGCGCAGTGCTCACCGTACATCAACGTCGACAGAGAGCGAGGCAGGAGCTTAGGCGTCCAATCTCCGACAAAGGTACGCTGGGTTACTCGTACACTAGGAGTTGGGACGGCTTTTTGGTCCGACAATCCAGCGTAGCAGTTTGTATCCGGAACAGGCTCAGAGTGTACTGTTCGTGAGTCTGCGAACATTGCTGTTGGATACATGTGCTGGATGATTTTGTGTCACGCAGACTGGTAAGACAACCGTTTGATAGGGGGCACCGCGATGATTCACGGGGCCCCTCCTTGCTGTGGGAGCCGCTCTTTGAGCTCTCCCTCTTTCGTCCGTGTGAAGGACGGTCGTCTACCTCCCGTGAAGTTAATACATCACCAAAACAGTCTCACCCGATAAATAAGTGGCGTAGGCCGCAAACACTCTAGAGTGTTTTGCCCCTCGAGGGAAGCCACATCGGGATGAGCTCTGCTGGAGACGAAGAGCGCGCTGCTGCGAGCGGAGAACAGATCCGCCCGCTAGTCCAGGAGGGCCGCGACGCGGAGCTTGCAAGTTTGCAACGGCAGATTTCGCAAATGGCGGCCCTGGTGGAGGAGTCGGTGAAGAAGAAGGAGCCTGGCAGCGTCGTGGCGGATGCAGCCAGTAGGGGTGGCTGGGTTGCTGCCCCCAGAGGCCAACGAGAAGAGCCCACGCTGCCGCTCGGCGGTGGCGGGGGATTTCTCCAGCAGCAAACGAGAGATAGTGGGCAAGGACCACGGTCGCTGCTGGAAGGCGGCTGGGCCAGCAGATCGGGAGCGAACCCTGTTGGACCAGCCGGAGTGGGCCCGGGCATAGGACCGGACTACGGGGAAGCGAGGGGGTTAAACCCCCCAGGTGAGATACCCGTGATTCGAGGAAATGGAGAATACCTCGACGGCTACAGCAGTAGCCACATGAAGAGGGTAACGGTCAATGCTCCGCTCCTAGACGGAAAAAGCCGTAGCCACGGATTTGACTCGTGGCGAAAATCATTCATCCAAGCTGCGAAGACCATCGACTTGGACGGGCTGTTTATAGGAGATGCAGAGAGCAGTATCCCCGTGGGCGACCCAAACTTGCCCACTTCCGAACTGCTCCGTAGGGGGTACACGAGAGCAGAAGTCCAACGGGGGCTTCAGGCGTTCCACTTTATCACTACTGCTGTGGTAAAAGAAGCTGACAAAGCAATTATCAGCAACTGTACGTCAGCGAAAGAGGTCCTTGCGGAATTGGAAAAGGTCTACGATCCGGAGTCACAGGGGTCAAAACAGGCCTTGATGCGGAAGATGTTCGACTTTGCAATCCCCACACACCGCAACAGCAACCCCATCGAGCACCTCTACTCTCTCGAGCTGCTGTATGCCCGCCTGCGCGAAAAGGGGCTCAATGCTGAACAACCCTTCGTTCTCGCCCACTTCGTTGGTTCCCTCCCACCCGAGTACCAACAAGCGAAGTTCCTGTTGGAGACAGCAACGGCGCTGGATAGGGCCGAGATCGTCAGGATCGTGAGCACGGTGCACGCGAGCCTCCCGGAGGGAAGGAAGGCCTCGAAGGGCCAGCGTAGGGCGGAGCATGCTCTCCTCGCGAGTGACGGTGGCGGCGGGGGAGGAGCGCCGGGCCGCGGCAACAGCGGCCGCCGCAAGGGCGGTGGCGGCGGCGGCGGCAACCAGAAGGGGAGAGGGGGTGGCGCGAAGGCTGGAGGCGGCAGCGGAGGCGGCGACGACGATGCGGGTAGCATGCGCGGTCGCTGTTTCCGGTGCGGTAAGAAGGGCCACCAGGTGGCCAACTGCCCCGAGAGCAAGCCCGTGCGATGTGAGACATGCAAGGGCTACGGCCACGACAAGAGCAAGTGCCCGACCGAAGAGGCGGTGCTCGTGGTGGAAGTGCCGGCGGGGAGGGCGTCTGCGGACGCCACAGCACTGGACGTGGCAGAAGAAGCGCTGGTGGTCGGTGACATCTCAGGCGAGTGTCACAAAGTCGTTGGTCGAGGGGGTGTAGAGCAGGCTAGGCGGGGTAGGTATGTTGCCGATACCGGCGCTACCACCCACATGTTCGCGAACTCAGATGGGTTCGTTCGTTACGAAGAGTGTGATCGACGTGTGCGCGTCGCCGCCGGAGAAACCTTCCCTATCGTAGGGTATGGCGACGTGACGGTAACCCTTAGCTCGCGCGACGGTACAACCGACCTGTTGTTGAAACGGGTTGCACACGTCCCCCGACTAGACTACAACCTAGTATCTCTCACTTCCCTCTTCGACGACGGGTTCGAAACCAAAACCCTCAACAAACACGAGTTGGAGTTGGAGAGAGGGGGGGGGGAGGTGGTGTACTTCCCCCGATGCGGTAACCTGTACGTCCAAAACGGTTTCCGCACACACACCGAACATGCCTGTGCCGCAATTGCTCCTGGCAACGCGAAAGCGCCCAGCACCCCCGTTGACATCAACGATTTCCACTGCGCGCACGGCCACTCCCACGAGGTGCTGCTGAGGACCACGGCGAAGCAGCAAGGGACGACGCTGGTGGGCGAGCTCCGGGAGTGCCTGGGGTGCTCGACGGCGAAGGGGCTTTCCAAGCCCATCCCCAACAAAACGTCGACCCGAGCAGTTAAGAAACTGCAGCGAGTTTTCGTGGATTTGAGTGGAAAAGCTAGGGTGCAGAGCTTGGGGGGAAAGTGGTACACTCTCATTGTCAAGGATGATTACACAAGGTGGAACCGTGTCTATTTCCTGAAGCACAAATCAGACGCAGCTGAGGCATTCGAGAGATACCTTGCCGAAAACCGGGCAAACGGTGCCCCGTCCGATGTCATGGTCGTGAGATCTGACAACGGAGGAGAGTTCTTTGAGGGAGAGTTCGGCAGGGTGTGCCGGAAGTACTGCATCAAACAGGAGTTCACCCCCGCGCACAGCCCAGAATACAACGGTGTAGCTGAGAGAGCACTGGGTCTGATCAAGGATGCAGCACTAGCCGCCCGTATCCAAGCGCCAACTCTTTACCCCGGAGCACCGAACTACCCATCCCTTTGGGCCGAGGCCATAGCTTGGTCATGCAACGCCCTGAACTGCACCTCCACCACATCCAACCCAGAGAAGAAGTCGCCGTACGAGATGTGGCACGGGCACCCTCCCCCGCCGGGGGCGACGTACCCGTTCCTCAAACCTGCCGTATACAAGGTCAAGCGCACACACAAGTCCGAGCCAAAAGCCCAAAAGTGTTTTTACCTCGGCCCGGGAATCAACACCAACCGTGATTGCGTGCGCATCCTCAACGAAAAACGCCGAGCGATCACAACTCGCAACTTCACCTGGCAATCCGTGCCCGCCGCCCCCGCCGCCCTGCCCCAGTCGCTGCCTCCCATCGCAGAGGAGGAAGAGGAATTCGCGACTGAGGAGGACGAGGTTGGGGAGGGCGCGTCGAACCAAGGTGGAGGGAGGGCGGAGAGAGAACCTGTGGATGGAGGACCAGGTTTCAACCTTGGCACGACGGCAGCCCCAGGGCCCGCGGGGCCGCCCGCGCGCGCAGCGCCGGCGGCACCGCCGGCCGCGCCCCAGGAGTCGGGCGCGGGCGACGCTGGCGATGGCGCCCCCTCGAGCAGGGAGAGCGCGAGCGTCGCCCCATCTACCACGTCGACCGGCACGGCCGATGTGGGCGGCGGCGAGGACGACCGCCGCAGCAGCAGCAGCCGCGGTAGCGGCGGCAGCGGCGGCAGCGGCGGCGACAGCAGTAGCCGCGGTAGCGGCGGCAGTGGCAGCGACAGCAGCAGCGGTGGCAGCAGCGTCGATGACGGCGGCAGCGACAGCAGCAGTGGCAGCGACAGCGAGACGGATCTCCCGGCGCTCTGTGGGCCAGAGGCCCGGCGGCTCGCCCGCTTCGACAAGCCGGCGGAACTCACCAGCCGCCGCACTAGGGAGAACCCTCGCCGAAATCCGAGGTACGAGTCGCCCCCGTCGCCGCCCACATCGGCCCCGTCGCCGACAAGTGCCGAAGCCCTGCTCGCCTCGGTGGCGAGCCTGCCCGACAGCAGCACGGAGGAGTTCACCCGCTGGATGCTCTCGGCAGTACTTCACGTGGCGGAGGGGCTAGAGGCGAGGGTGGTGCGAGAGTTGCTGTCCGAGCGCGCGCAGGAGGCCCACGCTGCGCGCCAAGAGGCGGAGGATTTCCTGCTGGGTACGGTGGACCTCATGCTCAACTCGCCAGACGCCTTCGAGACGGCTCTGGCGTCCCACGAGCTAAGTGAATCCCCCATAGGCAAGCGTCCGAGTGATGTAGAAGCCCCACCCATGACTGTAGCCGGCGTTGCCAAGTCTGTTTACCGAGAGGGGTGGGAACAGGCCATGAGGGAAGAGTTTGAAGGGCACTTGGGCACGGGGACGTTTTCATTCGTAGACGGTGCGCCAGAGGGGCGCAGGCCTGTGAGCTCAAAGTGGTGTTTTAGTTGGAAGACCAACAAGGAAGGGAAGATAGACACGTTCAAAGCGCGTCTGGTTGCTAGGGGGTTTTCGCAAATCCCGAACGTCGATTATTTCCATTCGTCTTCCCCTTGCCCCTCATCCGCATCCATTAAGCTGATGCTTGCGGTAGCGAACGAGAAGGGCATGAACCTCAATCACTGGGATGTGAAGCAGGCGTATACACACGCTACGCTAGACGAGGAGGTTTTTCTGAAGCTCCCCGCTGGGTGCGGGGACAAGTCGCATAAGATTGCTAAGGCTGAGCGTGCGATTTATGGTCTGAAGCAGAGCGGTAGGCAGTGGGGGTACCACGCTGCTGATACGCTAGTCGAGAACGGGTTCGAGCAATGCAAGGCGGACCCGTGTGTTTTCCGCAAGATGGTAGACGAAGTCGTGGTGATGATTATCGTGATTTATGTGGATGACATTTTGGTGGCTGGGTCTGACGAGGATTGCGAGGAGTTGCTTGCTTCTCTCAACAAGAAATTTCCCACCAAAAACCTTGGAGAGTGTCAATGGTTTGATGGGTGTGCCATCGAGAGAGATGTAGAGGCTGGGACTCTTAGAATCTCCCAAACCGCGTATATCGACAGCATGGTTGAACGCTTCGATGTGAAATCAACTTCCCGCATCCCCGCTACCCCTGGTGCCGATCTAGGGCCGAAGCGAGAGGATGAGGAAGGAGGGGAGTGGCCGGTGAGGGAGGCCATCGGCAGCATGATGTGGGTGTCGACTTTCTCGCGTCCAGACGTCTCGTTCGCCGTGCGTGCGGTAGCGCGCCACGCCCACGCCCCGGCGAAGCGGCACTGGGATGCCATACAGAAGATCCTCGGCTACCTGAAAGGGACGAGGGACCTCGGCATCACCTACCAACGGGGATCGGGGTTAGGGCTGGCCGTGTACGTAGACGCTAGCTACGCCGACACGGAGGATAGGCGTTCGGTGTCAGGGTTGGCGACGACGGTTGGAGGTACCGTAGTCAGCCATGGTAGCAAGACGCAGAGTATCGTGTCTTTGTCTTCAACGGAAGCCGAGTACATTGCTGCCGGGGAGGGTGTCAAGGAGGCGTTGTTTGTGCGTGCTGTGCTTTCGTTTGTCGCCCCAGAGACCAGTGGTAGCAGCATCAAGGTCCTTGAGGACAACCAGGGGGCCATAGCGTTGGTGCAGAACCCCCTCAGCTCAGGTCGCACGAAACACATCGACGTGAGGTATCATTTCATCCGAGGATTGTTTAGGTCGGGGGATATTTCGGTCAAGTTTGTTCCGACAACGGAGCAACACGCGGACCTCCTTACCAAGGCCCTTAGCAGGGTCAGTCTGCAGTACCACCGGCGCAAGCTGATGAATTTGCCGGAGTAGATGTAGCAGTTTTTAGCACTTGCCTTGGATTTTTTGGTAAGTGCGGCCGTTGTAAGCCGCTGTGATAGCGACGGTTTTTTGTGGTGGAAGGGTTTTTCCTTGAGGGGTTTTGCCCGGACGCCGGGTTTCCCCTCCATATGTTACCATGTTGGTATTTTCTGATGTATCCTGGGGCGTTCTTGCCCAATTGATGGTTAGTCACTTGCGTGAAGAACCAGGGAGGGTGTTCGTGAGTCTGCGAACATTGCTGTTGGATACATGTGCTGGATGATTTTGTGTCACGCAGACTGGTAAGATAACCGTTTGATAGGGGGCACCGCGATGATTCACGGGGCCCCTCCTTGCTGTGGGAGCCGCTCTTTGAGCACTCCCTCTTTCGTCCGTGTGAAGGACGGTCGTCTACCTCCCGTGAAGTTAATACATCACCAAAACAGTCTCACCCGATAAATAAGTGACGTAGGCCGCAAACATGTACCACCAGAAGAGAGCCCCCTACATCATGTACCCAGTAGGGGTGGTACACCAGACTCTTCATAACTCTGGGATGAAGATCGAGGGTTAGTTATACGTCTATTATTGCAAAAGGAATGACTTCATTTGGATCAGAGACACGTAAGCATGACGAGGTCAATATTCAAATTTGTTGTTGGGATCCCGTTGGTGGTGGCAGCACACGGAGTCACGCGTGCGTACTGCGGTAGGTGCACTTACATGTTGTTGTTGTTGTTGTTGTTGTTGTTGTTGTTGTTGTCTTCACATTAAAAACCATCCCGGTCTCTCTATCCAGTACCTCCTTCTGTCTCAATCTCTCC